ACCCCCTCTGGCTGCTTTATCGCGTCTGATTTTTTTACCTACATTCACCTCTTTCCATCCCTCTCTTGAGCGAACCGCCGCTCACTTGTAATTACTCGCGGCGTGTGTTGTAAATAAATCACACTTGATTTCCGTGCGGTTTGTTTGGGGGGTGCGTGTGTGGGAGGGTGCCGGGAAATACCGCAAATATACGCAAACCTAATCGTTAACTTTGAGTCAACGAAAAGCATGAGGGAAAAAAGTTTAAAATTTTTTAATTGTATAAAAGTATAAAAATTTGATCTTAATTGTTTAAAGCTTTACTTTTCTGACACGTATAAGACAGCTTCATTGGCTTTTGGGGCTCTATTTCCACTTTTTAGACTTTCAGATTTCGTCTGAAAATTTTGATTCAACCAGCATAAAATTATCTTACGATTTTTTGAATAAAATAATTGCATCAGTATAATGCAATACAGTTCACAAATAAATTCTTTTGACAAATATGTTTTCCTTGATGCATTTATTACATCTTATTTTCTAAAAACTATATTTTTATTATCCCTGATCCCTGCCTTATGAAGGATATTCTTCAAAGAAAGTATTACATAATAATATGATTTATACAGGACGACTATATCGGAATTTTTTATTTGACTACTATTCTAGATGCACTTAATACCACTTTGCAATGGTTAAAATAATTTATATTCTTACTGTTAATTATTGCAAGAATCATTTTAAGTACACCATAAAAGAATTTTAACATTATTTTTTCAATTAAAAAAATTGTCTTATTTAAAAAATAAAATAAAAATAAAAACATTATTAAAATAAACACTTCTTAAATAACAAAACAAAAATACACAATATAATAAATAAATATATTTGATCTGTTTAACTGATTAAACAATACAATTTTATGATATAATAATCTGTATGTAACTCTTAATGCTGACCCAGCATGACAAAGCTGAAGATCAAATTGTTTCATGCCGACATCCTCACTGAATTCTCCCCCTCGTCAGTCTGCCCATTGTCGGCTTTTATTTAGTTAAACCTAAGTTAGTCTTAATCGACTGGGATTTAGAATCTTTAAAAATAGACCTCTCGTCTCTTTATATATTTTTCCACTTCCACTTTGCTTTTCTCATTCCGTCGAAGAGTGGATGAAGCAGGCGGCGAGACGGTTTTCGTTTTTCACACTGCACTTTTTACAAGTGACATTTTGTTCCTTTTCACAAACAGCGCAGCGGTTTGAAGTTCTCTCGTTTAGTATAAACAGCACTGGAGGTGAAAAAGGAACAGACCGCTTTCATAAGCTGAATGGCGGACTAATTGCCCTCGCAGTCAAAGGGGTTGAAGCGAAAAATCAGCTTGAAAACTTTTCAGCCAAATGGAGCAATTACGCGCGGCGATGGTTTATTTCAACACGGAGGCAATGATAAGTGTGAAACGAGCCAATTTGTATTTGCGCGGATATCTCGCTGGCGGAATTCACTTTATTGCTCGGCGCTGGCAATTGTGATGGAAATGCCGCGCCATTGATCAAAGAAGGACGCGTTCGGACTACAAAAGGCCTCTCATATGTGTTCGCCGATTCGAAATCCCCGCTGCGAACGGGCGGCAATAATCCGATAGGAAAAGAATTAGCCTCTGTCGGCGGCGCAGCATATGTTGCCAGGGGCGACACAATAGAGCCTTTTTCGCAGTCGACGCTCATTTGCATGCCGATTGTTTTCAATTAGCCGTTGTTTGTGTTGTGAATGCGCCAAACACAATATAAATGGATGGTGTCGCTCGAGCAGCCGATCAACAAGTATGAATTTCACTCCTTGGAAAACTTTTGTGAACACGTAGCAGTATTTCTCCATTGTGGCCGAGTCAATGACAGAAAACTTATTGGAAAGACAAAGAGACATTCAACAGGGACATTTGTAAGCTTTTAATTTGTATATTATATTCATCGCAATTCACAAGAAAGAAATTGTCTGAAAGGAACAAATTAACAGATTAGATTTTACATTATGCCGAAAATATTTGCAAATTTCAATATATCATTATGTAATAAATACATTATTTTATCGTATTTAAATCTTCAATCGTAGTTTTAACGAGTTGAATAAATGATCATTTGCAAAAAAAAAATGAATAAATTATAGTTTGAAGCAAAATTCTGACAAAATAATAATTAATGACAAAAAATATTACTTTTTTTTCTTTGCTTCGTAATTGTTGCGTTTAGGACCAACTATTTAACCTATCTCATTTTAAATTAAATGAGTTAAAAAATATCGCATCATGTCATCTAAAGCTTTTGATAAAACTCGCAAATTCCTTGAATACATGGCGGCTTTGGGTACTTGAGCTGACGACGAGTTCAAATCCCTTTGAACGCAGAAAGAAAAAAAACGTAAATAATAGCCACGTGCTGCAGCTCTCTCTCCTCTCGACCAGGTGGACCGAGTTTTGAAAGCTTCCGCATCTGCCCCTGTTCATTCTCTCTTCCGTCCGAGCAAACACAATCGGAAGTAGTGCGTAAGTGCAGTTTGTATGTACGCATTAAACAAGCCAGCGGAATCGAAATGTGAAGGTAAATAATACAGCGAGCGAGGGGGATGCTCTTAACTGCTGATGCAAATGTGTGTGTTCTGACGGTGTTCATATCACGGCCGCGAGGAGGGGGATGTTTTGTGTTATTGTTCGCGAGGGTTGGTGACGTCACCGCGTCTGGCTCACCCTCTCGTTGCGAATTCCGTTTGTTTCGCTGGCACGGTATGCACAGGCACGTCTAGCCGTCCTTTTTAATGGGCGCCGCGGTTTACGGCCTCTGCTGGGGAAAGTGGTCTCGACTGTGCGTTGGGTGCATCCGATGCTCTTCTAATGTGTGCACAGCATGACGGTGCATACATGCAAATTAAATTACGGTCAATTCAGTCCCGCCGGTCGCATAATCAAATGAGCAAGGGGAGATCGCCGGAGCTCAAAACGCTTCCACGTATGAGAAATTCAAATTTTTAAATTTATCAATTAAATCGATTTTTTTATTTAAATAAAATTATTTGGTAACTAATTTTTAAATTTTTTAAGTTTAAAGTCTAAATGAATATTTTTAAATTTTATTTATTTTGAGGAAACTCAATTGTCTATTTGGTTGAAAACAAAATGCAAAACTATTTCTTATTACAAGCAACCCTAACACGAGACGCAGACAAATTGGAATGCTTTTGTTTTTCTAGGATGCAAAAAGTTCCGGCTTGTCTTCATTGACGTCAAAAGTTTAGTAAATATGCTCATATTTGTGACCTTCACAAAAAACTTTAAAAAAAAATCGTTCAGAACTTCCTCAATAAAAAAACAATTTATAAAGTTCAAAATGCAAGAAATGACTTGTTGATATTTTTTAGAAAAAAAAATAACCTTAACTATTTAGATATTCTGACAAAATTCAACTGTCAAATTTTGTGTTAAAAATGGTCTTGTGTAAGAACGTTGAAAAAAATTTGAAGAAAAAAATATGTTAATCTGAAAGGAAAATATTTTTTGAAAGATTGATTTTTGTACTGATTCTGGTCAAAATGATTTCACAGCTCGTGATTTAAGGCTTCAGCCCGCAGCCGAAACATGTTTTTTCACAATAAATAACTTCCTTGATAAAACTCATCGAGGAAAAGCAGATTTTCAATTCAAACCACCATTAAAAATAAGTTTTTATCATATGAATCGGAGCGATAGCAAATCAACTAAAACTGTGCTTAAAATCATATTTATGGACAAAGTTCGCTCAAACCCGCACTAATTGCAGTCTCGATTTGGTGCTCGTTAATTAGAAGAGAAATTGAGCGGCTAATATCGCGGTAATTTTCCACACGGCTATCGATCACGCGCTAAAAATACAGCCGGACCGAACGACCATCTGGTTGCGCCGTAAAAAGCCTTAATAGCAATGAAGGCGCTCAAAAGCAGAAGTTTGGTTAGGGAGGGCGAACGGCCACAATATTTAGTAATTGGTCGGCACCTTTCTTCCTCATTGAAAATAACACGATCGCAGTTGGCGATTTTGCTCAAAAGGAACAAGGGAATTGTTGACGGCTCGTCCCCTAGCTGCACGCACGAGAGAGAAAAGTTTCTTCTCGCCAAGAGATATCATCTCTTGTGGCCAGATATTTTCCGCCCTCGGCCAAAGAAAACGACGGGGGAAAGAGAAATTATTTATTTAGTCACCCCAAAAGGCGACGGAGCGGGCAGGCGGGAGCCTTGCGGATCAGATAAATCACTCTGGCGCTTCGTCATTTGCTCTTAATGGATAAATTGATATTAAGTAAGGAGACTTTGCGCTTTACTCGTCGGCCAAAAGACGTAAGTCTGGTTCCGATTTGCCGGTCTCATTGAGTCTTATAATATTTATTTAAAATTGTTGAAGTGGAATTGATTTTTGCCATAAATTTATATCCCATTGGTTTAATATAAAGTATTAATCAATTTTTTATTTCTTTTTTGTCTATAATCGGTCTTTATGAAAGAAAGAAAAATAATAATTTAGGCTTTATATATTATCGTCAAGATTTTGATGTAAGATTAGAATTCGCTGTTACAATACAAGCCCATTACTAGATTGTTGAGAATTGATTAATATTCTTTGTAATAATCATCTGGTAATCATTGAGTTTGAGTATTTATAAAATTTTAACTCCATTTAAAAGATTAATTCTTTTTATAAGTTTCTACGTCACCAACAAAATTACTTGAACATGAAATGTTTAGTTCATTGAACCTTATTGACGTAATGATTCAATCAAGGAATTTTTTAAGCAATTTAGTAATTACAGGAGCAATAAAAATAAATTAAAAGGTAACAATATAACAATTTTCAATATTTTTTTTACATAAAATTCCCACAGAAAACCGAGAAAACGAAGCCTTTAAGAAATTATGGACAAATTTACAAATGATATAACGTACATTAAATTCACTAATTCATTTGAAAATTTTTTACGTTCGAATAAAAAAAAATTACTTACTCGATTGAGATGTTTCTGTCCACGAGGCGTCCACTGTCCACAGCCACGCTGTGCCTCTGCAGCTTGTCTCCGCCACGGCGTCTGTTCCCTGCGAAGCAGAAACCACAAATAAATGAGACCAGCCGCGCACACAAAGAACTCGACGGGGAATTCACTTAAATGCATGAATTAGAGCGGCTTGGGTGGAAGAAGAATTACGTCACTCCCCGTTCGCTGCTCGTCGAGCACCCTCATCCGACGGAGAGCGCATCTATTCGACTTTAACTTTATATATACGCGACCATATGGCCGCCGACGAGACTAACATCATAGACGATGATAATTCATGAAATTCCCTCGGCCGCGACTAAACAATAAATTGCCGCGCACACTTTGACACGAGCGAACAAGGTCTGTTTGCCTTTTTGACACTACTTTGGTGTGGCGTAATTTATTTTTATTGCTGCCATTTTCAAGTGAATAAATCATTAATTTTTGCATTATAAGTTTCAGGTCGTCAACGCCTGAAATGTAAGTGGGAATAATTAATTATCTTCCATGAAGTTGATTTTGTTTAGATCACTTTTCAATCAAATTATAATAATTTTCAATTTTTTGTGGATATAGATTTAATTTTAGTCACCAAGCAGTACCAAGTAAAGTTATTTATTAATTTATTTACCTAAGCTCATGATGGTGTGGCACAAATTTGTATTTTCAAAGCCTTGAAATGTTATTATTTTAGTAAAGAAAATGTTTACTTTCTAACTTGACTGTCAACAAAAATTGAAATTTTTGTGAAATAATAGTTAAATAAATAATTATTAATAATAGTGAAACAAATACTAAAATAAAAAATATTGTAATTTTTAAACTACACATTTATAATCAAATATAAATACATCTAAATTTCCAATAAACTTACACCAAAATATAAAAGGATCAACGGACCTGAAAATTGGCCTTTACGTAGAGCTTGAGTGCGTGAGAATTGATCATTTTCAAGAGCCAATCGGCGGGTTCGCTTGAGTTTTGCGAGAGATCAATTTGGCGTGCCATTCTCTCGCAAAATTGCATTGCGACACTCCATTAGGACTTTCTGCGCGGCAGAGCCTCTTGCGCGCCTGAGTGGATGCAGGGCACAGACGGGAAATTTGATCTTCTCGCGGCGGAATATAATGACAAGGGAGGCGTACGTGAGAGAGTTTTAAGTGCTCCTTGAGCATGTGCGTGCGATTATAATTAATGCACCATTTGGACAAATAAATATGAAACACGTTTGATTTTTTTATTATAATTATTTTTTTTTATTGAAATATATTTTCTTCAAATTAATTAAATTGAAATCGATTCTTTGTATTTACAATACAGACAGCATCAATTTCTTTTTTTATCACAGTGGCTTAATTAAATAAGAACAAAATTTTAAAAGGATACCAAAAAAATGCTGATGCTTATTTTATGTGGGCAAATGACCAACAAGTCTGATTATAAATATATGATAAACTCAACACTGGCCTATCATATAAGGCTAAAAAGATTTGAAAATGTGTAAGAAGATAAATATTATACAAATTAAAAATTTATTGATCACCAACAATTTTTTTATAAATTGTATTCATTACACTTTTTGGTTAATCATTGAAAAGGTGTTTTTTTTTTCTTCCGAAAACATTTTTTATTTATTATTTTTTTTTTTTTTAGTTTTGGTTGTTTCCATTCAATCATTTCATTCCAGCTGGCCTGCTTGTTTATTTCAATCATTCACTCAGCACTCAGCACACGTTTTGATGAGAAATTCCAGAGTGCAATAAAAAGCGAAAAGAGCAGAGAGCCCAAAAACGCGATGTACTCGTTGCGATAAGAGTTGGTGCAAAATCGCAATAGCCGCGAATATTATTTACTCAGCTCCTTGCGCGCCGCCGAGCAATAAATGGCGAGCGTGAACAAACAGAGCGGCTGCCTGTGATGAGCTTTATTGCGCACCCACACTTACACGTCGTAAATAAGGGCGGCAATCGAGGGATGCTCTTAATTGCGACTGTCTCTCGCGCGGCGGCACCGCAACGTTTGTAGAGCAGGCAGACGACAAGCAATTATTTATTGTTGATCGAGTCGATTTTCAGACGGGGCGGCGAATCACGTCGCCTTTGATGATTTTCGATCGGAAGCTGTGCGATGAAATTAAACGAACAGAGAGTGCTCTCAAAGGAGCTAGAGCAGAGTGAGTGCCTCCCAGCAGACACAGACACGCTTTCAAGGGTTGTTTATAATTTGGTTAAAGAGGAATTTTCAAAGGGAACACCGATCGAAACATAATAAATTTCATGTGGCAAAATAATAACAGTCGGGAAAACTTATTCGGAGGATTTTTTTCAATTTTTCCTTAAATTGAAGAGTGGAATAAATTCTTCTTAAAAATAATCCTTATTATACACTTTTCTAAAAGTAGATTGAAGATTTTGAAAAAGTGATAAAAAAATTACTATACATTTAATTAAATTTTTCATAACTATCAAATGGTAAATAAATCTCTTGTTTTTTTTAAGAACCGCTTTGAGAATAGATTGCTTTCACAAGTTAAGAGGATTTTAAATTAATTCCTTTCTCATTTATTATTTGTTCATTTTTCATATCAAGACGTTTTTTAGTTAATTAGAGCAGTAAATAAGTCGCTTGTTTGCTAATGTTAATGGTTTCAGTTCTCGCATGCCTTTTTATCTGGTTTTTTTCACTTTTGCGTCACAACGGGAGTAATTAATTCGCCATATGCCACCAACATTGGCCACGCTTCCATTTTTTCAGCAAATATCGTGACGCACATTAGCATCTTGATAGGGAACCGCAAAAAAGTATCTCTCATGTTTTACGGTCACACTGCTCAGATGCCAAATTAAAACCCTAATCATAAATAATATTTTTTTTTTTCATTGAAAACAAAATTGCGAAAATAAGCAGAAACGAGCCAACAATGCAATAATTCACTGAATATTTATAAAGGTCGATTGAATTAAATATATAGAGACCAAAATTAACCACCCCAAAACATCCTGGATAATTATCATCAAACATGCTAAATAGTTTTGTTAGAATTAAATGCTGAAATTGTTTATAGAAAAGAAAAATTGAAGCTCATATGGGATAGAAGAAAATGTTTCCACTTTTCAGCTGAAACAAGACGATCACAATCTAAATTGAATTTCCAGATCATATTTTCTGCATCCTTAAACTGTTCAAACACGTTCTCTAGCAACTAATTGGTAATAACATTAGGTAACTTTCGAGAGAGGCGAAGTCGCTCACATAATCTCTCTTGTGTTACGATCGCGAATTCAGCACCGGCTGCTAATTTTATCAGCAATTGGCATCACGCTGCGAAATCAGCCAGTCGAAAACGCGAGCATAAAAGTTTACGGCGTTGACGTGATTTTATTGATATTCGCTGAGAAGCTCAGCACAGCCTTCCAGTCCGATTAAATCGCGGCAAATCGGCCAACAGGATAATTCAAACTGACGGCCGCAAGTAAACAAACTTGAAATACATATTCATGCAGTCACGGGATTTCTGACTCGCAATTTGTCTCTGTCGCTGATTCATTATGCAAATTTTCGGCCAGGTCGCCCAGGGGTCACAGAAAACAACCGCGGATTACATGGAGAACCGTTCGGTCGGGGCTTACATTGAATGGGACTCTGCGTAAATTGAACTTTGCGTGCTCGGCGCCCACCCGACCTGTTCATTCATGCGAATGTATTTTGAAGTGCAAGAATCGTGTTTTGGGAATTGTGAATGTTTGTTGAAATTAAATGGAATATACACTTGGTTATTTATGAAACACTCTTTTTGTATGATGAAGGCTAAAAATGTATTTAATAAATAGCGAGAGGCCTAAGTAGTTATATTAAAGCCTCTCGCTAGAGATGTTCCATACATGAAAAAATTTATGTTCCCCATAAAGAAATGAAAAAATTATGTCTATTTCATTTTAAGGCAAAACAGTCATTTGCTTCACATCCTTTTGCTTAGTAAAAGTCTTAGTTGAAGTTTCTTCTAACCAATACAACACAGCCTTCAAAATAATATCTATCCTACAATGGTATCACAAAAGAGACTCTGCCGAAATCGAAAAATGAACTAAGTTGATCATAATTATTTATTGCTTGACTGATTGTGTTCTGCCGTCATATAATAAAATATATTTTTAAAAACAATTTTGCTATAATAAAAACTTATTAAAGTTAAAGATAAATTTAAAAAAAATCTTTTGAACTTGTTTAAACAATTAAATATAGCATATATTTTTTTTAAATTTTTAAAAATAGTTTTAAATCTTACAAAATCTTTAAACATTAAAAAAATAATATAATATTGAACGCGAAAATACAGTTTATAAAATTTAAATTACGTGTAATAAAAATAAAAGTTTAGTTATCTAAAGAACAATAAGGATTTTGTTTTCTGCGCCACTGGAAAATCTCGATTATTTATAATCTTCTTCCAGCAAGGCCTTAAACGTGAGTCCCGTTGCGATTAACAAAGTCAGCTGGGCCAAAGATGAAATTGAAAGTGCACCCCAAACTACGCAAGGGAGGGAAATGAGAGAGAACGAGTGCTTATTCAGCGGGCTCTGAACCGCTCCACGCGTCGCGAGCACCAAGGTAATTAATTGCACGGATGAGGAATTGCAAATTGGAATAATATGCTGGGGGAGCGGTTCTCATTCCAAGGACACTCACCTCTTTCGTATTTTGATCGCAGAGCAACCAGGCTGGACATGATTCGTGCTCTGTGTGCCGAGTTCCGAACGCCCAACTCTTTGATATCCGCTTCTGTAAACCACAGCAGCTCCTGGAAAATTGAATTAAGTTAAGAATTAAATGTTTATATTTGAATTCAATTTTTAAATAAAATTTATGCAAGTAAAAATTTATTAAGTTCTGTTATTTGAAAATAACATATAAATTAATTAAACTGTATTGATTTTGAAAAAGGGTGGTAAACCCTTGAACAAATTAAACTAGAAAAAATTTGATCAAAAATACATGAAAATTATATCATTCTAATGTATAGAAATATTAATTTCTATATTTTTTTTAAACCATAATTTGATTCTTGAATTATTTTTGCACATGTTTTTTGTTTTTTGTGCAATCTACTTTGCTGCGAGATTGACCGGATCTCATTGTCAAATGTTTTATGCTGGTGAATCGCACTTTAGGACCATTTTTGGCCAGCTGAAGAATAAAACATTTAGGAGACTCTTGGTCCGCAAATGCACCGAACCAAAAAGTTTGCTCGAGCAAAAAAGTGGCAACCTCGGCATGATGGATGAAAAATACATGCGAGAGAGGGTTGCTTGAACCTGGTGGCACGCAGGGTCTTTGGGTTGGTGAGGGGTTGAATTCGGAACACGCCGGATAACGGTGAGTGGGGGATTTATCGAAAGCGAAAGTTATCATCGGAAACAAGTTAACTGCCTTCGCAAAGGGAGGAGCGGAAAAGTTCAGCAACGGGTCTTGTATAGCAACAAAAATTGCTGAGTTAGATGCACTTTTTATTACCAGAGGCGCCTCAAGAGAAGCGTGTTTGGAAATCTGTTAGGGAGATCAAGCTTGCGAAGAAAATTCGTAAAAACTGCAATCAGAAACTCTCACCCTTCATAGGTTTGTTGAAATATGAGGAAAAAATGGAAAACTTAAGAAAATAAATTCAGAAAAATATTAAAAACATGTTTGAAAACAAATTTTAATGTCTAATTTTGAGATCCGAAAAATAAATAATTAATAAAAACAGTAATAAAGTGAATTTTTCCAGCATGTGCGATTTTATATTTTGACATAAAATACTAATCCATTCTTTCTTGAGTGGGAGAGAATTCGCCCAAAAAAGTCAACAACTTCCGATAGCAGAGAGGACATTTACTTTTATTTATCCTTGTGTTCCGTAATCTCTCGCAACACTCGGTAAGTGCACAAAAAGCCGCGACACTCGAGCGTAAATCTAATCCCACGGCACAGCACGCGGCCCTATGGTATATTTATGGTGCTTATCTGTGTGTCTTGAGCCCACCGAGCCGCGAGCGACGGCCCATGCTATGTACGTACGCAGAGTTTATTTGCCCGTTTCTTGAGTCAATATTTTGCCTTCATCAAACTTCCTCCAAGGCTGCGCCCTGACTGAGAAAGTGAAGAGCCCACATGAGAGGAGAGCAAAAGAAAGAGAGAGAGAAAATAAAGAAAAAACGCCGGCGTGGGTGCCGAGACGGAGAAGCGACTTTTGTGCTCCACTCTCTCATGTGTCTCATCAAAAGACTGAAAAAAAACTCATCCCTCCTAGAATGGCAGGTGCGGTGGCTCGCTTTTGTGCATACGTAATCGTGACGACGAGGCGTAAGGATGAAAAAAAGTGTCTCGCTTTTCGCCACCGGCGCGATGATCAATATTAATTACCCGTCCCACCAGTCCACCAATCCATCCATCATTCACACAAACTTGTCAAATCCATACCATTTGAATATTGTTTCTACATAATTTTTCAATTTTTGAATAGAAGTTATTATAATCATATCTTTAATATTGATATTCTTTGTACATTTATAAAACGAAAACAACCGATAATTAACGATTGGGATCATTTCCTTACACGTAGATGTTACCATTCAAGCTCAGTAACATTTATATGTTTAAATAATTATATTAAATTTTTGGAATAGTTTAAGTTTGTATCATATAAAAAAATTTACAAAAATAACCCTATTATTTTATATTTGTATATAAAACATAAATTGTGTTAAATATTTAAGTATAATAAATAATTTTATCATGTAAAATTTATAATTAATTAATAATAAAATTATACATAAATATAAAACTTTATTTTTTTGAATAATGCTTAAAACTATCTGTGCACAATTTTTTATTAATTTTTTTCAAACAAGTTAATTTGAAAATAAAAATAAAAAGGGTTTGATTAAAAATATAAGTTCAATTCAATGTTAATTTTGTTCCCATAATTGAAGAAGACCTGTTCATAGCTAACTGAAGTGAAAATAATGTCAATCCAATTATTCCGGTCACTGTCCCTCTAATCAAGCAGCTTTCATGAGCCGACGAACAAAGCGTCTCAAAACCAACATCATTTAATATAACGTCGCGCAAATGGCGGTGCGGGCGCATTTGAATAAATTTGTATGTGGGCTACGCGCGCAAGCTGAGAATTTCGATTGCCCTCGGCTGCGAATTCGCATTAGGCAGCTGCCTCATTGTTCGTATAATATTTTATTCGTACCTCGACTCCGGAGAAGGAGGCGAAGGCGGCCGCGTACTCGGGCACGTCGAGCACCATCAACCACTGATGCACGTCGAGATGGGGCGGCCGAGGAGCCACAGACGGCCCCGGTGACATCTTCCGACGTGTCAATGAGGTCAAAGACGCGAACCTGAAGCTGCGCGCCAGACCTGAAACAAAATCACAGTTCATTAATAACAAATTTCTAAATGATTACAAAAAAGCCAAATTTAATCAAAAACAGTGTTTTCTTTCACTTTTCTGTTAGGTTGAAAAACATTTTTACAGTATTATTCAAAATTTTCTAGTACTTTGCAACCAGAAGCAACCAAACGCCATTTTTTTTATTAGATTCCAATAAAGCTAATGGTAAAATGAAATATTTTTGATCATATAAATTTGGCAATTAAATTAATTTCAATGATTAAGGATGTTCATCTTTTTCTTTTAATTTTGCAACCAAGAATTTTTAAAGTTTGATTAAAATAATTGATCATTTTGATTCAAAATTGACTATAAATATCACATTTATTTATTTATTTCAAATCCATTATTTTCATATTTCACTTCAGTAATGTAGTGTGTGAGAAAATCTTACTTTTTTTTATTGGGCCGTAAGTGGGTGGCCAATTTTTCAAGTGCATGTTCGCCAACAATAAAAACCAATTCTCGCGTGGTTGTTACTTTTCTTTTCACTCCGCTTATCGTCGACGCTCAGCACACGGGCGTGAACGAGATTCAGACGCGCATCTCGTATAATAAAAAGGCGGCTTATTTATTGATTGCAAAGAGTGTTTTGAGCACTCGTCGGTCGAACAAGACGCATGCTTTTGCAACCAGTTAGTGACACGGACAATCAATCACGCCACTTTTATGAGCGCAAAACACACCTTGCGAATCTCGAGAGAAATTTTCAGCGACATCACTGGCAATTTTCGGCCTAATGTGGCGTTTGATTTTTGCTAAAGGCGCGTCCATCGTTTCACAAAAATATCTAAAGAGATTGTTTGAAATTTTTAATTTTTATGTAAAGCTGAAAGATGCTTTTTGTTAAACGCGTTGAATTTTAGAGCTGAAATTCCTTGTTTATACGAATAACAAAATAACACACACGATAGTAAGATAAGATAATTTTTACGAGTTGACCTTCAGCATGGCATTTTCCTCGAAAGTCGCAATCGAGAGCGGAATCGGACTAATTCAAATTTCGATCTTCTGTCAAAGTTAAAGCTTAGATGAATTATTAAAAATGACGAATAATAACAGGAGCGAAAAATTCCCCTCGGCTTTCATTTATTGAATCGATTAATCAAAATCTCTCCAGCAGACAAGACAAAGAAAGAGCGATCTCAATTTCCTGGAGCGCCCGTGAATGTTTAATGGACTAAAATTGGTAATGTTATAGTACGCGCGACGTGTTTTTTCATAAGTTGGCAGCACTTATGCTCCCATGTAAAAGTATCACGTCGCGCGTTCGATAGTGGTTTTACGTCGCGCATACAATAATGGTTTTACGTCGCGCGTTCAATACTGGTGGCGGTGAAATTTTTAAGGAAACCGATTTTATTTCCTGATTACCACGGAAACCTCTATAGCATGCGCGACGCAATTCTTTTAATACAATCTCAATTTAGGGGACTGCTAGGAAGAATAGGGGCCCTTGGGATGGGTTCAGAATGGGGCAAGACGACCTCTGGAGGGCCGTGCGCACCCTTATAGCAGGCGCGACGTATCACTTTGGGACGCGCGACGGTCGAAAAGCGAACTCCGGAGGGCGCTTTTCACCATCGTCAGAGGCGCGACGCATGGTTATAGGACGCGCGACGCATGCTTATAGTACGCGCGACGCACGGTTATAGTACGCGCGACGCACGGTTATAGTACGCGCGACGCATGCTTATAGTACGCGCGACGCACGGCAAATTAATTAAAAGGTGTTGCACGCGGCCGGAGTTGTGGGCACCCCACGAACCGGCAACTCGGAGGTGGGCAACCCCCAAGATTAATTTTTGCAGAAGCCGCGAGCGAGGGGTGGAGGCGCAGCGAGGTCGAGGACGTGGGGAAGGCCGTGCGGAGGGCGAGGACAAAAGGGCGGCTGTGTTCATGAGGGGGCTCCGCAGGAGCCCCCTCACGAACCCCGCCCTTTTGTCCTGCCCGGAGCCGGCCTTCACCACGTTCTCGGGCGAGCGCGCCTCCAGCCCGAAGCTCGCAAACCCACAACGGAGTTGCTTACAAAAGGAATTGTCTGCAAAAAGGGCTTAGGAAACAAAAAGTGTGGTGCCCACAACTCCCTTTGCAGACAACACCTTTTGTGGGCAACTCCGTTGTGGGTTTGCGAGCTTCGGGCTGGAGGCGCGCTCGCCCGAGAACGTGGTGAAGGCCGGCTCCGGGCAGGACAAAAGGGCGGGGTTCGTGAGGGGGCTCCTGCGGAGCCCCCTCATGAACACAGCCGCCCTTTTGTCCTCGCCCTCCGCACGGCCTTCCCCACGTCCTCGACCTCGCTGCGCCTCCACCCCTCGCTCGCGGCTTCTGCAAAAATTAATCTTGGGGGTTGCCCACCTCCGAGTTGCCGGTTCGTGGGGTGCCCACAACTCCGGCCGCGTGCAACACCTTTTAATTAATTTGCCGTGCGTCGCGCGTACTATAAGCATGCGTCGCGCGTACTATAACCGTGCGTCGCGCGTACTATAACCGTGCGTCGCGCGTACTATAAGCATGCGTCGCGCGTCCTATAACCATGCGTCGCGCCTCTGACGATGGTGAAAAGCGCCCTCCGGAGTTCGCTTTTCGACCGTCGCGCGTCCCAAAGTGATACGTCGCGCCTGCTATAAGGGTGCGCACGGCCCTCCAGAGGTCGTCTTGCCCCATTCTGAACCCATCCCAAGGGCCCCTATTCTTCCTAGCAGTCCCCTTAATTAAGATTGTAGGAAAATAATTGCGTCGCGCGTGCTATACATGTTGCCGAGGTATCGATGGAATAATCGGTTTCCTTAACAATTTCACCGCCACCAGTATTGAGCGCGCGACGTAAAACCATTATTGTATGCGCGACGTAAAACCACTATTAAACGCGCGACGTAATGCAAGTGATGCCAACTGAAATCAGGGATTTTGGGAAACACGTCGCGCGTACTATAACATTACCCTAAAATTGATGATGGCTCTCCGGGCCCATACCAGAGAGAAGTAGAATGCTCGTTTTGTGGCTTATGGTGCGCGGAGACGCCGAGAACGGCCCGAGATGTTTGCCAAAAAGGCAATAACTGGTGGTCCTAAAGGCCACCACGTTCAACGGCAAATTTTTTTTACGAATTGTGCATAGTTCTCTTTAAACTTTAAAGCTTCAGCTTAAATCTTATGAAACGGAAAAAATCTGAACACCTCTCCCCAATATATATTGCAAAAAAAAAACCTTTTTTTGACATTGTAATAAAAGGTTGATCAAATATCAAGTCGGTAAGTTTATTCAAAAGGTTTAAGACTATATCTAGATCTAGAATAAAACAATTCTAAAACTAATTTTATTTTGCCTGAACTTTATGTACATAGAGCAATAATAATAAAGAACAATTTCAGAAAAAAAGTCCATTAAATTATTTTTAGTTTTTGAATAAAAAATATTTTGAAAGATAATGTTAGTTTTGTCATCGATGCCTTTCATTGTCAATGGAATTTACCTGTACAAAATTTTAAGTTAATGTTGTTAATAAAAATCCGATTTAAATTTCTTTGGGAGATTTCTTGATTATTGCTGCGGTAGTGATTTGTTCAGTGGCCTGTCGTTCTCATCCACCATTATTTCTAAGCAAGCGCGGCTTACGAATGCTTCAGGTTTACTTTGGCAGGACAAAAAGTGGAATTTCCAGCAGCCCTGCCAATAATCCACCGCGACTGCTGCTGACACGACGGACGCGACGAGCTTTGAATTCCATCGGCCGCTCTTGCGAAAACGCGCCGATAACAATCGACGCTCGGTTAATTCACCTGCCCGAGCATTAAAATAATTGGCATGTCAATTACGCAGAGGCCCCGCCGCAGCCGCGAGATGATTAATACGTCAGCGGTGCGCGCGAGAAAAGCGGACGCGGATCAAGATTCGATCATTCTTACCGTCGCGGGATCAAATTTATGCGCAGTCACTGCGACTGATAAAGAACGAGACTGAAAGCTTTTCACACGCGGATCTGATGCGGATAATTTCGTCCAGACGCGCATTATATTCTAATTCTTTTGTCAGCAACAATGGAGGCTATTAGACTTTTATTCGGTAATTACGATTTTAATAGGGAGCGTTTAGGAACGTTGAAGAATTTAAATTGCAAACAATTGAACATGTCTACTATTTTTTGTGCACCTTTGCAGTTCTGCACATGTAAATCAATTTCAAAGTGATTAATCTACTTAAGGAAAACGGCCAGTACAAATTTAAATATATTAGAGCATAAAAATTAACAATCAGACAAAAATAAAGTGATCAATTTCATTTACATAATATTGTAAGCTTATTGGCAAAATTAAATTATTCGTTAAATAAATTAGTATTTCCATAATAATTTAAAAAATTTTTGTTTCTATACCAATAATGTAATGCTAAATAATAGCAAACAATTTTAAAATTTAATTTCCAAGATCATTTGTGGAAATTATGGGTTGAAAAATAACCCATAAATATTGTTTAACTTCAAAAGGAACAAATTAAAAATTTGGACAAATTAATATTTTCGTTTTACTCTTCATTGATTTTTAAATGAAAATATAATAAATTAATTTAAATAATAAATATCTTATTGTTTCCGAAACTCTGTATTGAATTTTTCCCATTCAATGAAATAAAAACTCCACTCTTTGCTATTCAGCATTTCTGTCTCTCAATCTTTCATTCACGATATATTTCAGGCTAAATCAATTACTCGCCCATTCACTCTTGCCACTCTCTCATTACAGCCGAGTGCACCAAAAGCGGCTCGGAATACTCTGGCCCGTACTACACTCTCTCTCAAATTTGCGAATGCTCGCGAGACACGGATGGAGTACTCACGAGAGTACAACACCGAGCAAAAAGCAGGTGTATGTCGTGTATAGTGAAAGAGTGACGAGAGAGATCGATGCCTCGCAGGGGTGCTTGGTGGCTCCACGCGATGTCACTCGCGGTCGCAAATGAGAGCCACGC